TGCTGTATCAAACATGCAAACTGCCTGACGCTTTGAAGCGGCCCTTGTTCCACGAATTCTCTGCATGCTCGGAGACTGCAAAGGCCACAAGTCCTGCTGTGTTCGCTCAATTTGGCCACCCAAGCAGCCAAAAATGCATCGATAGCCACCCGGTACGGCGGGACCCTTCCGGCCAACATATCTCCAAGCAAAGAGGGCCTGCAGTTGTGGCAGTCATTGCTGCCCACTACCGAATTCTGTCAGCACAGCATCTGCGGAAGAGGCAGCTTGTTGAACGATGGGCTAGGGCTCTTCTGTTCTGGCCGTCGGTTGCAGCCACTGCTGCCTGCTGCCGGAGCAACATCACCAGCTACTGTACTGCGGAAGCATGCCTTCACCATGTCCAGTCACGAATTCCTTCTCACTGAGACGATCGCAGATCAGATCCTGAGGGGCGTTTGAACGTCCTTGCAAGGAAGGGCTGCCTTCACGACGGCAACCAAAAAATGGATCCTGATGTCTGTGTGTGTCAGCTTGTTAGTAGCAGATGTAAATGCCTGTCTTAAGCTGCCTTTTGGTCGCACATTCAATCTAGTTCCTCCAGGGCATCACCCTGCTGGAAAATGCTGCAAACACATGTCAGAAAGTTCCCAGTGGTCTGTCTGTCTTCAAATGCGCCATGTCATTGAGCGAGAATGACAGAAGCTGTAAAGGCTGAAGGGGCAACTCTAGCACATATGAGCTCACGTGGGGCTCAGGGTATGGATTTCACCTTTGCCCCAACAGCCTTCCCTTCCTGGAACTTTGATCCTTAAAGCTTGATCCGTCCAATCCAAAATGGTCCAGCTGAGAAGTAAAGGTATCCGTGAGACTTGGAGGGATATAGAAATCCGCCGGCGTCCCAACTTCTTGCGTCGGAAAACATGTGACCCTGCTCATCCGGGATGGTCACAAACTGGACACTCTCTTCTCGGAAGTCTGTCAGATCAAAACGTACCAGTTTTATAGGAACGTAGCGGCTGCGGACGTAGCCGTAGACGCCGTCTGTAGCAGACTCCTTCAGGCTATACAAACTATGGTCGACCTTGCCTTGCAGGTCGATCGTGCCTGCAAGACCTTGGTCATTGAGATTCAGCCAAACAAGCTGCAAATACCTGCTGTGCCGCCAAGATGCGGGGTAATGTATCAATCTGTGAGATTCGGATCACACTACCTTGTACAGCTGCATAGATGTAGTTGCCGGCTGCGAACGAGCCTGAGCAATGTCCGATGCACCCAAAATGGATGATTCCACGAATGACTTGGCCCTCAAACATCAGAAATTCATCCAGCAATTAATTAATCCTAAAAAGGCACACACACACACACATACAAGCCATCCCCAACAACGTCTGCTGGATGCTTTCTTTAAGAAGAGTGTTGACTTGCTGAACTAGTTGCTGCGCGCTTCAGGTCGGCTCAGCGTGAGGCTAGTCAGCTCGAGGGATTGCGCAGATGAGAACGCAGTTGCATCAAACCAGGCCAGCCTAGGGTTTGGGTCAGTCTAGGGCTTCTTCTGGGGTCGGGGATTGTTTTGCACACGCGAGCCTACTGGTCGAAGCACCGAACACATAGCAGACTTGCCCTGAGCAAAGCCCGTCATTCGGTTGGAAGCCCACATCAAGTTCGCTGATACCACCTTCGAAGTCCAGCTGGAAGCGGAATACCTTCGAGCAATATGACCCGCTACCATGATTAAAGCACGGCAAGAAGCCGTAAACACCATTTGTGAAAGCGATATGGTACTTGTTGCCCCCGCCATTGATAAGCACTCTTGATGGGTGCTTTATAAGCCGGTTGTCAGCAATGCTTATCCGCAGGATCACGCCTTCGTCTCCAGTTGATACCCATACGCTTTGCGCGAGGTAGATGTAGTCTCCATGGAGGAACCCTACTCCATAGTATGGTTTTGCAACGTCACCACGCTCGACGAAGTCAATCATGAGGTTCAGTTCCATGCTTGACAAGTGCAGCTTGTACAGCTTTGAGCTGTGCGTGTTGCCGTCGTAGAAAAGAGCTACCAGGTACATGTGGTCTGCCTTCACACCTACGTGAATGACAGTTGACTGGTAAGCAAAAGTATGTAAGTCATCTACAATTCCGCTGCCATAGGCTCCAGCATCCAATAGTGAGATTCTCTTGTCAACGCTGCGCTGAGAGAAGACCATCTGGACAGGACAAAACAGCTGTGATCAACTCATAAAAAAGGCGTTCATGTGATATCTGGATAGGAAATTTGGGGGGGAAGGGTGTTTCGACATGTTTCGTAAGAAACCTTCTTCGGGGTTCATAAGTCATCAGCACACATTGCATGAGCTCAAGGATGTGCTAAACTTGGACCACTGCTTCATGTGGCATTGTCTAGCCATGCCCTCACAAGTCTGCCTCTTGAGATCCTACTGAAACCACCCTGCAAAACACCACGGTTGCTTTCTCCCGAGAAGCGCAGACCCTAAGGGACCGCTGGTTTTGAGACGCCCATGCAACAAAGCATGGCCTTGCAGGTGCTAGAGTCCAACTCCACAAGCGTGCCCTCTCGGCACTGCAGGCGAACCTGAGCTGCGTCGTACATGAGCGAACGAAATGCAGCTCCCAGTAAGGCTCAAACTGCGGCATAATGCTTTCAGTCTTATGGACATTTAACCTACATTTCCCATCCTTATGGTTTATGGCAGAATTGCAACTCAAAGTCCTGCACAATGGACCGACCCATCTGTTCACTCTGCCAGAGTAGCGGTCCCATTCTCATACAGCGACGACTTGCATGGTGCTTCCAAGTGCTGACCGTGGAGAAGCCTCTCCTGGCTTACAAGATTGAAGGGTTTGGGCTTGAGGTAACAAGTGCTTAGCGTAACGGCATGTAACGGCAACGTTGGCTCTCGTAGCGTTCCCAAACAGGAAAGCACAAATGGAAGCACTGCCAAAAACTTTGATTATTCAGCCTCACCCGGCTAAGTCTCATGGTTGATGTCACCGGCCATCGCAGTCGTTGTAGAAGGACCTTCGCATGGCGCCTGCAGCGCAAAAAGGCTTTGGGATGTAGTTAGCGTCGTGGTGTAGTGGAGATGCTCTTAAGATAGCCTGCAGTGACTTCACGCAATCGGAGTCAAATAGACGAGATGCAAACACTGAGGTAGCAAGAGGGAAAGAAACATGATGGCTACAGTGCGCGGCTCCTTGCACGACAAGTCGTAGTCAGTTGGCATATGCTCAGCTTGCACGTTGTCAGCAGGGCATAGGTACTCCTGGCATGAGGAAGACCGGATTCAAACCATTCACAGCCCCAAGCTTGTCTCTCGTTGCATGCACAGTTTTAAAGAAAGCTTCTTCTGAAACAACCGAGACTCGGCTCGGTCTGGGCCAGCTGCTCCGGTCTCTGCGTTCCAGATTGGCATGTAGCCAGGGCTGCACGTCAGGACTGCCACGCTGCCCGGGGTGACTTGAAAACCAGGGTCAGCTGTGATCTCGATGGGGAAGCCTGTGAGTTCACAAGGAAGGGCGCACATCTGCCCGCCACTGAGCTGATGCATCACACTGTCGGAATGACAGTTCTCTGTACAAGTGCCGGACACGCATTCAGATGCGATGCTCGGGCACCATAGCTCATCTGCAAGACACGGAAATCCCGTGCAGAGATGTTCGTGGATCCTGTAGGTCGTTTGTGTGCTAGCATCCTTGCATAATTCGCAAACAGAAGCATTTGCCAGTGCCTTGGGTAGGCATCTCTTGCGTCTGTCATCCGTCACGTTGCAGTATACTGGCGTTTCAGGCACGAATTCGTAGCAGCTTGTCTCCGACCTGGCCACGTGCCTTACAAGATGCTGAGTTGGGAGCCGTTGGGTCTTAGTTCCTCAGAACATTCGAGATTATTCGAGTATGCATAATGCCTACCAATTCCTGGTTCCTCTGCTCATCCGCTAATCAGGAACCAGATGCTTGAAGGTGCCTTCAGCAATGCGCATAATCCGATTGGATCCCCAAACCACAATTTGCAGATCACGGTCACTGGACTGCTCGTAGCAGGGGATTTTGCAATAAGCAATCAGCGGGGAGGATGAGTCCCTCTCAAAATCTGTGCAGCTGAAGAGGACTGCACCTCCTTGCATGAACCTCGGGCGTGCATCAACCATGGTCAAAGAAAGCAGATCTACAACAGCATCAGTCTGTCAGTCACAAATCTGAGACCAGAAACTCCACATGGGAAGGCTTCTCCTGGCTGGGGGGAAGCGCGCTGAGGATCACCTGCAGGGTTGCTCGAGAAGGAGACCCCCCCTAGGTATACAGAACCCTGATATCGTAGCTGCAGTGTCTCGAGGTCCTGGTAAGGGGGAGTCTGACCCGCGAACCTTCACTTCCCAGAGGAGCCAGTTAGGCGCACGATTGGACATGACCGGTGCCACAGCTGCAGCCAAGCCTGAGCTTCCAAGATGGGCTCCCTCTTGTATGTCCCCAATTACTATACTGCGAATCCCCGGATCAGGGTTCAGGCTCTAGGAATGTAGAGCTCTGAAACAGGCCTGGACGGCAGGGCAGGAGACCGACTGATGCAGGGCCCTGATTACTACATTGCTGTTCAAACAGCATGAGGCGAAAAAGGTCCAAGAACAAAGCCTGCCAATCCGGTACTTGCGCAAACTTCCAAAACAATGTCCTGACGACCTTCCAAGAAGCACAGGTTGCTGGCTGCAGCAGGCCTAGTAATTGCATTTCTCGGCTCAATAGTAACTGTTCGTGGGCCGACCAGCTGGCCACTCCGATTGGGATAGACCTTGCGTGGTTCATGACTTTGAGGTCTACAGAGTCTACGGAGAAATGGGTTGGGGCGGCACCGCAGGGATTGGATTCTGGGAGGTGCATTGCAGTATTGCTGATGTCTGCTGAGCCCTTCCTAGAACTACTCAGTCCTCATGCGCGGCCTAAGCTGGAGGTATTTGATGTGAAAACTTGCTTGCTTTGAAGTCCAGCCACTGGGCTAAAAGGACCTTCATCAACTTCATTCACGACTGCAGCTTGAAAGGAGTAGTACCTTCCGGCTGTGAGCCGTGTCACCGTGACAGAAGCTTCAGGCGTGTGCGTTTCGAAGATGCGGTGGTGCTGCTTCCACTTGTGCCTGGCGTCATCATACGTGAAGTGAATAATCCGAATCTGCACAGATAGGATCTCGGCATCTTGCGGAAGGTCCAATTGAAGCCGAACGTGTTGGTTCTGAGGATCCTCTTCGATCGCCTCATCCTCGATCCCCAAGATTGCTGGCGCCGAAGGCATTGGTGGAAGTAATCGGTTAGCACTTTCCTGGGCTGCTGTTAAGGAACTTAAATGAAGTCAATATATTAGGGGAAACCCAATTATTTACTGTATAGAGTTACCCATTAATTATGGTAACTTAATTCAAGTTCCTTAACAGGAACCCAGCTTCAGCCTTGCCTTGCTTGAAATGTGCGACCACGCGAGTGCAGGGATTTTCACACCAGGCTGTACGGTCGTCTGTGAAGTGCAATCTCTCGGATTCTTCTGCATTCGAACATTGCCTGCTAAAGGCTATGTTTATTCAATCTATAGGCCCAAACTTAGTTACCCCAAATGGGATTTCAGATGGGAACATTGTATTCCAGTCTTTTCCATCCTCCCTGCCCTCTGCCTGGTGGAAGGCGTGCAGTAGCTCTTGTCACCTTGGCGCAAGGATCACCCGTGTACTGTGTGCCAGGTCCAAGCTTGGCAGGTTGCAAGAAACATTGACCGTCTAGTCGCCACACTTCCGACCCTCACATGAATGAATGATGTTTGAGATGTTAATTCATCCATACACGCGCGCATGTGGATTTGTGAATTCTCATGTCTAAGCAGCTCACTAGCCTGTGCCTGCATGCGGGCAAAATGCGGCTTTCGTTTCGTTAGTTGCTATGACAGTGGCAGCTACTTCGAGAAGTACTGAAATATAGTCCTCAAACTAGTTCCTGGACGCAATATAAATTCAAAACCTTACATATCTCCCAGTCTTGACATGCCAATTCGCAGAATTGCGCACAGTAGGAGTCAAAATGGATCACGACCAGCTTGTATCTTTCCACGCACTCCTCCGCACCGTCGACACTCGTTGTTCTCACCGCCTGTAAGCAGTGCGAGTCGCTGTTGCCCCATCTCCTTGGCTGTTATTTCGAGCTGAGGGTCTACCGGCTTGCATAGATGAGGAGACCGAGGAGACCTTTGGCTACAAGACGTAGCTGAAGTGTCGGTTTTGGCCACGCCCGAGCTGGGGCAGAGATGACGCAGTACAAGCTTGAATCATCCAGAGCCAACCTTCTGCCTTCTGAACTCTCGAGGGCCGGTTCGTATCTACTCGGTCTTTCATATGGTGCACAATCAAATGCTTTTCCAATGGCTACCAGGTATCATCTTGCGGCCAAAGGCCAGAAAGCGACGAACGTTCACCTGATGAACAACTGCAAAGAACAAAGCGGGGTATCTGAAACAGGCCTGGTATCAAAACCGGTATGGACATCCCGGAACCATGCTAAAGTATTCCATGTAAGCTTGGCGAGCAATCCAACCAACAACCCAACTTTGGGGGAACCGGTGCTTGTCGGATTTCTCAGAAAGTTTAAGGGTTGCTAAGTCTAGCGTTGAAAACGCGTGGTTTCTTAGGTTCAGAAACTCATAATGCTGCTCAAGTGCCATTGATTCCCGGCTGCTAGCTGGGCTGCTGCCGGCAATGATCAAAGCAACCTGGCGTGCCCATCATTCACGAAGGATGCCGTATGAGGGTACCATTCTGGAAAGGGCCGAGAGAGAGAGAGAGAGAAAGACAGAGAGAGAGAGAGAGGGAGGACATGCACTGGAAGTTATCATGCGTGTCACAGATTTCTGTAGCATTCTCGTGGGTCGGGTCGCTACTAGCTCTCTGTGCCTTTTTGCATTTGCATCGGTTGGCTCTGCTTCAACTGGGCTGACACTTAGGGTGGTGGACAAATGAACATTTGCAACCTGCCACGGCCCAAAACATCTATCGCACATGGTACTAGTCCGTCTTCAACTGTCCTAACATACAGAGCACAGCAAGTTTGTGAAGGCTCCCAGAAGAAAAAAAAAAACAGGTTTCGACATGTTGTCGTCTATGGTGCAGAAGTACGTATGGTTGTGACACGGATCTCGACCTTTGCTCTGAAGACTGGGGCTCCCATTGACAGACACCACATGGATCGGAACTGAGAACTATCGACACATTAACAAGAGGGGCCGGAATGATCCCGTTGCCGCAGAGCGCAAGCACCGTTTAAGCATCTTGGACCTCGAAGTAGTTGTACCTAGATTCCGCATCGCAACATCAGAGAAGGTGCCCCCGCCACACCAGGCAATTTTCGAAGGGATTCGCAGTGCCTTTCCCACCCCAAGCCGAGAGTCTTAGGTCACAACGACCTCAAAACCATTCAAACAAAGCTCGCGGATCAGTAGGTGGGCGCACAGGAACACACAGCATCGCGAACAGTTGCAGCAAACGGGCGGATGAAGTACAACAACTCCTGTCTCTTTCATTCCAGCGAATGCGAAAGCCCAATTCGCAGGAAGGAGTGTGCACATGCATTCAGACGGGGCTTTTAGGCAGGTCTGTGGCAGAACTTGATGGTTTGATACCCAGGCAGAAACTCAGCACGTTCTGCTACAAGCATTTGAGGCTCATTGCGTCTGGTGCCACAAGAGTTTCACGGCCGAAGGACTCTGTTATGCTGGGTTTGTTTCATGAGTTGGCAGAAGGCGGAGTATGCGAGAACCGCATTCCGAGGACTGACAGGATGGGGATGTTGTTTTGCCGCAATCCCAAGCATTTGCTGTAGCTACGTGCTCTGAGAACATTCCTCAAGGCTTTGCTTGGCATTGTGCCGCACCTTGGTGCGCTGGGGAGCAAGGCATTCTAGTATGGAGTTCCGCTCGGTGTTTCCTGGTTTGGGTTCTAGCCCTGCACGGTGCTAGACCTGGGTCCGTGAGGCCAGGATCAATAGGTTCCAGTAATGCTCGGGTTCAATGCTCGCTTTACTGCAACCGAATCTTGCATCACGATCGTGTATGGCTGTGAACTCGGCGGCTTTGAAATACCACACAGCTTCCCGCCAAAACTGACAAGCGGCGTCGGCTTTTGCCGCGGACGTGTAGCACGAACGGTCAAAAACAAGAAACAAAACATGTACGCGTTTCATCTATCATAATGATTACCTTGGGCTGAGGGCCGCAAGGGGCTGCAAGGCACTTGAGTGCCTCGGCCATTCGCCAGCAGTGAGATACTTAGTCTTGCGGCTGACGTGTGCAACAAACACAAACAAACTCATTCCTACAGAAATTGTGGGACCCCTCACTTGTGCATGGAAAATGCTGAGTCTGATGTTATATAACAAGCAACCACGGCATCGTAATCTGTGGACACCGTGCTGCTCATGTAGTCTGAGAATCTTCGGGCTATGGTAGCTCCAGCTGAATCCCGGAGAGGAGTCACAAGTTTGGATAGAGAGTATAAAGCATCAAGCTGAGTCTCTTTGTACTTTCTGACCAGGGTCAAGCTGTAGTTGCTTTGGTCATGGTCAATCATCACATCATCGATAGCACTGAGCTTCTCCAGCGTGCGATACTCCCAAAGTGCTCTTGCAAGGTTTACCTTGTATTCACGCTGGTGCTCTTGCTGCCGCCGGTTGAATAAGTTGACATCCCATGTCCACGCTCGGAATCCCCAATTGTCCTCTCTTGCCAAATCATTGATAACCCGGACACTCTCTTCAAAGTCTTCAGCAATGTCAATGGCTCGGTTGATGAGATCGGCTGTAAGCTTCCGCGCTTTGGCTTCATGGGAACCTGAAATCTTCGTCTTGCTGCTCACATACACAGAGCAATGAAGCACGGAACACTTGTCATACCCTGATACTTGTCCCAGATATGCCCTTCAGCTCACTCTATTCTGCCCGAGGACGTGTGAGCAGCTGGTCACCGCACGTTTCGAGACATGTCTACATACTTGAACTTGTAAACAAATGCGCGCAAAAGTTGCCATGTCTGCATCACCACTATTTGGTACTGCAAAACTCCTAGGGATACTTACTGGCCGGTTCAGATTTTCATCTGATGCACAACTGAGCCCCGAACTGACCAGCCACTTCACTGGAGTCAGTGTAATTTGCTTTGGGACACCACCACTCTGCACCGCTGACACATGCACCCGGGATAGATAATCAAGCGCACCCTTTGCCTTTGCTGCTTTGCAGAAGCAACGGTGCAAGTGTAAAGGACATGTGCTACGGTCCAATGGCAGCCTACAAAATTGCCAACATTTTTTCGCAGGGACATTTGTTGGAAGTCGCGTTGGGGGTTCCAGGTCGAAGGACCCTGCATTTTGACCGAGCGCGGAACTCGAGCCTCCACTTGATGCCTCTCCAACCGAGGCAGACTCGGCAAGCAAGGCGGACTGGAGTGCCAATTTACCGCAGGCACAGCAATGCACTTCTGGATGATTGCGTGATTTGGCTTCGGCCTTAATGCGCATCAGCCAAGTGCAAGCAATCAAATAGACGAGATACAAGATTCCTGCTAAACGGGACAAGCAGCCAATTCTTTAAGCCACTTCCCGTCTTTGCACATCCCGTTCGATTCATCAGCATACCAGTCACAGGAGTTGAGATCGTCGTCTGACCAGCCCACCGTGTCTCCACAACGACCACAACCGCAACAGTTTTCATCTGGTCGATTTTTCAAAGTAGCTGGAGCATCGCCGGTGTATGCTTGGCCATCGCAAAACTGTGCTCGATAGGCACCGCAGGTAAGACCCTGCCCATCGGTCCACCCAGGAGTGTCTGCGCATCTGCCACAAGCGCAGCAATGAAGATTTGGGAAATTGAGCGTGTGCGCTTCCTTCGGATTGGGAAGAAACCCGTTGCTGCACTGCCCCTGCTTGTAATGATCACAACCATTTTTGGCAGTAGTTCCATCAGTCCACCCTGCAGTGCTCGCGCAGCCCTCGAAGTGCCCTGTACTGAGACGTCGCGATGCAAGTCTTCTGGAAGCTCCTGGGTTGCCGGAAAAGAATCTAAACTAAGCTATCATGATGGGTATATATAGTAAATACTATGGCTACTATGGTTTCCCCATGAACGCAACTTTACTTAAGCTCCCTAACAGCAACCCAGGCTCTTGAATCAGCGAGGGCGCCGCTGAGATCTCCGGGAATGATATCACCATGTATATCAATCCCGATATACGTCGCATCCTCTACATCCAAGTCCTCTTTCTTG